TGGAACTTAGAAATATAAAAGTACAAAATATTGAATGAAAGACTAAAAACTTGCAGAATCTGTTCAAGGACACTAAACCTCTGCTTGTTTAGGCTTCATGGATATAGCAGGAGAAATTAAACCTGCAAATGAATAGCTTACACAGTCAAAAGTTTGTTCATGTGGAAACACCAAAAGATATATATTCTAATAAGAGAAATGTTGATAAGCAAGTTTCACCCCAGAGATATGGTGGGGCCCATGAAAAAACATGTCCAACATTGCCATGTCAACTCTCCAATCAAGGTTAAAAGCATCAAATATGTGTCATACTGTATTGTAAGATATATATCGGCTTCCTGGATTAAATAATAATACAAGGTGTGCATCAATGGTGATAACTTGCACTGAAACACTGAAACAGAGACAAATAGAGAGCAATAGCTTGCAGCCATTACATCAGGAGACAAATTCCATATTCCCACTTTGATTCCCTTCACACAATTTTAGAGCACCAAGGAGTTAAATTCAACCTGCCTTTTTTTCATTTGTGCAACTAAAACAATCTAAGCCATAGTAGGAAGGGAAAAGCTTCCTGATTTGTAAGACCAACTAGGACCAGAATAAGTCACAAGACTCTCTTAAAACACATGTCCTACACCCCAGATGAACCCGAATTTCCAAAAGAACAGCCATAAAAAGGTTTCTGCTTTGTCTAGATCAAGAATGGCCCTTACAACTAGCTGAAACACCAAAGTTTTATACCATCAGGAATAAGTAATCTCGACTTTTAGTTGCATACAAGAAAATCTTGACTTCTTCAAGAGCCATCTTCTTCAAAATCTCTTGTCCATATTTGTATAAATGAGCATACTCTTTGTTTTCACTCTCTTTGTTTTCGCTTTCTCCTCCTTTCCTCTTTCGACATGTTGTTTCTTTGTTATCACACAGATAATGACCCTAAAAACATTAAAATAGCAAAAAACTATAAAATGATATTTCACATAAATATCATGCATGTTTTTATATATACACACATATATATATATATATATATGTATGTTTATGTATATATATATAATATATAATATATATACATTTTTATTTATAATTTTATTATACTATTTTATTCCAATTATATTGTAATTTTTTTAATTTCATTTTATTATTACATATTGAATACATAAAATTTCATATAAAATAAAATTTTAAGAGTTTTTTAAATTTTTGCCTATTTCTTAATTTATTATAAAATTTTCATTATTTTTTCAATTTTTGTTAAAAAAGATGTTGCCTCTCATGGCTTGGCTGGCCCGGGCCCGCCAAGCTTCACAACATGGGCCATGCCATGCCTGACCTCTAAAGTATGGCCCACAGGCCAACACGGTACGACCCACCAAGCACAGGCGAGGGCAAAGTCGTGTCGTGCTGACCCTACACAACCTGATTTACACCTCTATGCAAGAAATCAACTATATCACTAGCGGATCTTCCTTCTACACCCTAATCCCCCACAAGACTGTACAATAACAAATCAACTACAAAACTAGCTACCCTTTGTACAAATTCAAATTCAATTGATCCAAAAAGGTTCATGTCAATGAGAATCGCCAAATATGTTTGGTGTAGTCATTGGTTTCCTATTTCTCGAAAATAGAATCATGTTCGATAGCAACCAATTTTTTGGAATCAATTCTCTAGATGATTGAAGCTACATTGTCATCAAATACATATAAAAAAGGAGATAAGTCACATGTTCATGTCCAAGGGGCCCTTTGAAGGTTGAGGCCTCTACAACCATGTCCAAGGGGTCCTTTGATGCTCATAATATACATAATGACAATTAGTAGTTATCTCCATACACAACTCAACACCAACACAGTTGGACCAATGAAAAGCTTTCATCATGTTTTGACATATTCAACAAGCAGGGCTGTGATTTCTTCTACAGGTTTCTAAGGCTGTTGCCCAACCTCAGACTAAGAGTTGAAAGGTTGAAGTTACAAAACTAGGAATTAAAGAAGATAGTAGCTCTCTTATCCAACCTCCGAAGCTGTTGCCCAACCTTAGGTGTGATAGACAAAATGATTTGGAAGTGGAAAACCAAAGCTTCTCTTCTTTACTTTTTCACATAACAGTTTTAAAGACAAAGGAATACAATTGAAGCCACAAGTAGTTACTTATAATGAACACCACCACTTGAATTTTCTCTCTCTCCAACACCTTAAACACCAAAGATCTACAACAACAAGGTCAAGAAAATTAAGCCAAACATATTTAATACTAAAACCTTTATTGAATCCAAACAACAAATACCCAAAATTGACTTGATGAACTACTAACTATAAGGTCCTAATTTTTTTATGTTAAACAATCTTTACTTATTGGAACGACTTTGATAAGCAAGACATTTCCATGCTTTTCAATTAATGTGGAATACAATAATTTTTTAAGATGTTAAAAAATTAAGAAATGTTACATGCATAACTACCGGAACAGAGCAATTAGTAACCCTCACACCCACAAGAAACATGCAGTCACTTATCCTACGGAATTAAAAGATAAAAGAAGTCAATTAAGCTAGAGATGTTTAGTATACTTACATTAAGATCGACCCGACTAGACCAAATAGATCCAACCTTTTAAAAAGGATTTGGTTCCTTGATTATGTTGAAATAAATAATTGGGTCGGTTCCGGTTCTCACCCCTCTTGATTCGATTCATGCCCAAAACCGATTATTTTGTTAGCCATATATATTATTTCCTTCATTTTATTATAGTTTTTCTCTTATCATAGGTTTAAAGTGTCGAATCTGATAGATAGATAAATAAAGGTGTTTAACGTTTTAACATATAAATAATTTAGTATTTTTCTATCAATTTTATTAACGATATATGATTAAAGCTTAAATTTTAGTTTGCAATTTAAATAAGAAAAGTGGTTTTTTTAGTTTAATTGGTTCAGTTTTTAACCTATGTTATTGTTTCAACCTAAATTTTAAGTTAAAATGGACAGTTTTGGGTTAATGATTTTGTCCTGATTAATGATCGGTTCGGGAGTGCTTCTACCTAGACCAGACCCGGATCCCACTCGTTGATAGCCCTATCTTGAATGGTGGCCAATTTCCAGTTGTGGCACCACTCAAAGCTTGATGAGAAATAGTCAATCACTTATCCAAAGGAATTAAAAGAAAATGAAAGTCAATTAAGCAAAGGATGTGTCCTATACTTACATTGTTATCGAAAACCGGAAACAATAGTAAGGATTAAGAGTCATCAAGCCTGCCTCAAAATTAGCAATGCCTCGAACAATCAAAAACTACACATATAACCCGAGCAAATTAGTAACCCATACACCCAAAAGAGAACACGGAATGAAGTGGGGAATTAAGAAACTTACACCAAAGAGTTGACCGACTTCTTTATAGTAATGCCGTGAGAGGTTGCACATCTTGCCCGCAAATCAAGCACTCTTCATGCTTGCCCACAATACACGGAAAAAAGTAACAGTGGCATGGACGTGAGGCCACAATCCTAACCCAATCCAAAGATAGGTGGTTGATCGGACTCCGGATCTCCTGCCCATGCCTACCCACAATACACTACCCCCTCGTGACTTAGGAACATCTCCCCCTGCATAATACTATGCAGAGGATGAGATGTTCTCTATGTGTGGCTGCGATAAACGTGGGAGAGTTCTCTGAATCTGATCCAATACTATGAATCATAGATTCGATTCAATCCCAAGATTTGGTCGTATCCTACAAACATTGATTCGAATCTGAATCAGTGGATGCCAAATATCTGAATATGATCTGATCTAATTTAATTTAAAAAATTAATAAATTATTAAAAGAAAAAGGAAATATAACAGTTTATATAAAGAAAAAACAAAAAATATAATTATTTCTTCAATTATTTTCATCATATATATATATATATATATTTATAAAAAATTATAAAAATGCAATATAAACACATTTATAAATAAATAAACCGGATTTGATCCTATTTTTATCGGATCTACTATCCGATCCGGTCCGAAAGCGGGATATCCACGTCCGAGAAAATAGGGTCGGCCATTATTTACACCCCTGGTGGTCGCTCTCGGCTCGGCCTCTCGCAGTCTCGCTTCATATTTTCTGCCCTAACCCGAACCCGATATCCAAGTCTTTTAGCCCAACATTCTGACCCAGAAGTATTGGCTGCAAGGCTAGCTGAGCTAAACACGATTCAGCGAGCCAGGGCTCACTGATTTTGCTAGTTAACTGCGCCCTCCTTGTGCGCGAGGTACTTCCCACATACTTCCATATTCATCTGCAACTGATCTTTCGTTTCCAAGCCAATTTCTCTACCCAACGAACGATCTCCGACTGGTTTGAAGGAGAAGAGCAGAAAAGAGGAACCCAACAAAAAGAAAAAATAAATAAATAAATAATTAAAAGAAAGATGAACCCATTCAATCCAATCTCTGAACAAGCTCCGTCAAACCCCAACACGATGCAGAACTCCCCCCAAACCAACTCGTTTCTCCAACAACCAAACCCTAACCCTAGTTTAGTCGTTAATCTTAACCCTAATTTGAACTCGGATATGGATCCAATGTCGTCACTTTCCATCCCCAGGAAGCGAAAGCGCGGAAGAACTCGCAGGCCTTCGTCCCTCCCGCTCCACAACCAGGTATTTCCTCCTTTCTCTCTTTCCAACGGCAATGTTAACGGTAATAACGAACTTGTTACTTCCTCGTCGCCTTCCATCAAAACCATTAATTCAGAGAACTCGAATTCCTTACCTGCTACTACTTCTGATATCTCTGAAGAGATTATCGTAATTAACAAGGAAGCTACCGCAGAAGCTCTGATAGCTCTCTCTGCCGGGTTCCCTGCTGATTCCCTCACTGAAGAGGAAATCGATGCTGGGGTTGTTTCTGTTATTGGAGGGATCGAACAGGTTAACTATATTCTTATCAGAAACCACATCCTCTCTAAGTGGAGAGAGAATGTGTCAAATTGGTTGACGAAAGAGGCGTTTGTTGATTCGATACCGTCTCACTGCAGTACCCTTTTGAATTCGGCTTATAATTTCTTAGTTTCTCATGGGTATATTAATTTTGGGGTTGCACCGGCCATTAAAGACAAGATTCCGGCAGAGTCGACGAAGGCAAATGTGATAGTGATCGGAGCTGGATTGGCAGGTTTGGCCGCTGCCAAGCAGTTGATGGCCTTTGGGTTTAAAGTGGTTGTTTTGGAAGGTAGAAAACGGGCTGGTGGGCGGGTTTACACCAAGAAAATGGAGGGTTTGAATAAGACTGCAGCTGCTGATTTAGGGGGTAGTGTCTTGACAGGTACTCTTGGGAACCCACTTGGTATTTTAGCCAGGCAATTGTCTTACCCTCTTCATAAGGTCAGAGATAAGTGCCCACTTTACAGATCAGATGGGAAACCAGTTGACCCGGATTTGGATTACAAGGTGGAAACTGCATTCAACCGGCTTTTGGATAAAGCAAGCCGGCTCCGGCAGTTAATGGGGGAAGTATCAGTGGACGTCTCCCTGGGGGCAGCATTGGAGACCTTTCGACAGGTGTTTGGTGATGCAGTCAATGCGGAAGAAATGAACTTGTTCAATTGGCATCTCGCAAACCTGGAGTATGCTAATGCAGGTTTGCTCTCCAAACTCTCACTTGCTTTCTGGGACCAGGATGATCCATATGATATGGGTGGAGACCATTGTTTTCTTCCTGGAGGAAATGGGAGGCTGGTCCAGGCATTGGCAGAAAACGTGCCCATTCACTACGAGAAAACTGTTCACACCATCCGGTATGGTAGCAATGGGGTTCAGGTTATTGCAGGAAGCCAGGTTTTTGAGGGTGATATGGCACTGTGCACTGTTCCACTTGGTGTCCTGAAAAGTGGTTCTATCAAGTTTATTCCAGAGTTGCCTCAGAGGAAGCTTGATGGGATAAAGAGATTGGGGTTTGGGTTGTTAAACAAGGTTGCTATGCTGTTTCCACACGCATTTTGGGGAACAGAGCTTGATACCTTTGGGCATCTTTCTGATGATCCTAGTCGTCGTGGGGAGTTTTTCCTGTTTTACAGTTATGCCACCGTGGCTGGTGGTCCTCTCTTGATGGCTTTGGTAGCTGGAGAGGCTGCACATAAGTTTGAGACTATGCCCCCCACTGATGCTGTGACTCGAGTTCTTCAGATTCTCAAAGGTATTTCTCTTTTCCGGTTTTATTTTGAAATTTGAAGTTATTAAATTACTAGCACTGCCCTTTGTTCTAGGAGATTTTAAGAGCTCCGCCTGCTAAATGACTAATTTGAATAACCCAAGTTAATGTATGCAGGTATTTATGAACCACAGGGAATTGATGTCCCTGAGCCCATCCAAACTGTCTGTACTAGGTGGGGTAGTGATCCTTTCAGCTTAGGTTCTTATTCTAATGTTGCAGTTGGGGCATCTGGGGATGATTATGATATCTTGGCAGAAAATGTTGGAGATGGGAGGCTTTTTTTTGCTGGGGAGGCCACAATTAGACGATACCCAGCAACTATGCATGGGGCCTTCTTGAGTGGTGTGCGAGAAGCTGCAAATATGGCTCATCATGCTAATGCCCGAGCCTTGCACATCAAAGTTGAGAGGAGTCCATCCAAGGATGCACAGTCTTGTGCTGTCCTGCTTGCTGATTTATTCAGGGAGCCAGATCTAGAATTTGGGAGCTTTTCTGTTATTTTTAGCCCTAATTATTCTGATCCCAAGTCGATGGCAATTTTAAGGGTCACCTTTAGTGGACCTCGGAAGAAAACAAGTGAGGGATCAAAACCAGATCAACAGCACTCAAACAAATTATTATTTCAGCAACTTCAGTCACATTTTAATCAGCAGCAACAGCTTCATGTCTACACCTTGTTATCAAGGCAACAGGCACTTGAGCTCAGAGAAGTCAGAGGAGGCGATGAGATGAGGTTGAGTTTTTTATCAGACAAGCTTGGTGTGAAGTTGGTGGGAAGGAGAGGCTTGGGGTCTGCTGCTGATTCTGTTATTGCTTCTATCAAATCTGAGAGGGGCAACCGCAAATCCACCTCAACTTCTTTAGCTCTTAAATCAGGTAAAATTATTTGAGTTGGACTAAATAGTATTTGTTGTCAATGTATGCAATCTGGATTGGAGACAGGGAATAATATTCTTTGCCTGGTCTTGTTAAAGGAACATCAAAGCATAAGCCAGGCACTTCAAAGCATCCATTGGTCAGGTATGAGTTAAATATCTTCCATTTAGCTGTATTGCTTTATTTATCACGAATTCTTCTAATATTAGTTAATTTGGAACTTTACTCTCTCAGAAGGGCTAAAGCAGTGGCCAGCAGCAATAGCTCAAAAGCAGCAACCAACAGCAATGGCCCTAAACCAGCAGCTAACATCAGTGACTCTAAAACAGGAACCAACAGCAATGGCTCTAAACCAGCAGGTAACATCAATGACTGTAAAGCAGTGGCAAGCATCAATATCAGTGGCTCCAAACCTGTGGAAAACAGTTACGACTCTAAAGCAGCAGCAAACAGCAATACCAATGGTTCTAAAGTAGTGGCCAATAGCAATGACTCTAAAGCTGCAGCCAACAGCAATGAGTCAAAAGCAGCAACCAACAGCAATGGCTCTAAACCAGTAGCCAATATCAATGATCCAAAAGCAATGGCTAGCAGCAATGACTCAACATCTTTTCCCAGTTGAGGTGAACAGTCTTTCAGACAGGAACATCAGTGTGTAAACCAAGCACCTTATAGGCTTTTATACCACAAATTCATCAGGTATGTAACTAGTTAACTACAGTTGTTCTAGGCACATCTTAATTGCCTTATTTGCATTGAGAAAACATTTTGTTAATCATTCTTTAGAGTATGTTTGCAGGAAGGCTAAAGTGGATAGCTGCCAAGTCAATTCCTAAATGATTCTAGTTGGAACATTATGTGCCTCATCCTCAAAATCGTGGTTCCAGATGGTTGTCTACATTATTTGTGCACTTCTTGTTCTTATTCTCACTGCTAAGGAGAGTTAATTGGGGGCATTGAATCATGAAGAAGATTTGAAGTTTCCCATGGGTGAAAGAGAAAAGCTCCGGATTGGACCTGGATACAAAAATGTATATTGGCTACTTTGTTAGTAAATCTCGTCTGTAACTATGACACCATGATACAAATGCAACTATTGTTTTCATTCTTTGTATCTATTTTGCCATTGGTTCCATTAGCCAATGAGCAAATGAAGAGGAAATATTACTTGTGCAGCTGTCTATTGAGGCGATAGTCAAGATCGTCAGATGCGGGTTTGGATGGCTTCTAAATCTCAACCATGTTAAATCTGGGCGGCGTTGTGAGTTCTGACCCTTGTGCTAGGCAATATCTTGGGTAAGGAAAATCAATGCATTTCTTCTGAAAGAGTCCCCAGATCAGAATCTCCACAAATAACAATTATGAGAGCAATGCTAGCAGCAGGAGCCCTTTCCATCTATTATGGAGGGTGGAGACCATAAATAATAAACAGTTTTTTTTTTTTGTGTGTATGTGCAGATAAGGAGGTTATGGGATGTTTTATCTTGTAGACTGTCACAGATTTACCAGGGAGCAACGGGGAACCGCGGTACCAAGTACCGACGAGTAATACTAATTTCCGTGCTTAACTTTGGTGGACAAGGAATATTACAAGTTCTGTTTCCATTCTCATGAACACTGATTTTATTATGAATTGAGCATGCTTTCGGAGTTGTCTGATATTCCAAGATGTGATCATTGCGCAAGTGAAAACGGATTTCATACTCACAAAATTTTCCTCAACATTTGCAGCCGTGCATTGCAAACATCTCCATACTTCTATGTTTTCATTCATAGAAGAAATTGTGAGGACAGTGAGGGCGAAATCCAGATTCTCGGTGCCCATAAATGTCCGCCAAAATTAGTAAAGTAATGTAGTAAATACTAAATACAGGGCTGCAAGGGACAAATTCAGATAAAATCCACAACTTTTTATGCTAACTTGACACGTCTAGGAGAAGCGGCGAAGCCATAAAGCCATTTCTCCCTTGCTTGTTAGGTACTGTGCTTTCAATTCAAAAGCTTCTATTACTCCATCGTCTTTATAGTTTATACTAAAATCCTCCAACTCAACGTCTCCTTTTCTCATGTTTTCTCTTCCCAGTTTCTGATTTCACATTGCTACTTTCTCAATCATGTCCTCAGACCATATCTTCTGTGGATCCAGTTCAACCTTTGACCCACCATAACCATAGCATCTTGGTAGCTTCCATCCATCTGCATTGGAAACTTTTTTAAGTTATCTTGACATCGCGGAGAAGCCTTGCTGCCATAGAACCGTATCTCCTTGCTTCCCAGTCACTAAGTTGTTTCCTATCCTTAAGATCCATGACCAATCCGCTGTCTTCGTTAGCTTCTGTATCATGATATTTAAATTCCTTCACCTTGCAACAAGTTTCATGATCCTCTTCTTCTCCATGCCCAGCTTCTATTGCTTTAACTTTGCTGCTTTGCTGATTGTGCCCCTGGGTCATGTTATCTACACGTCCAGCTTGAGGCTTTAAACCCATTATGAATAGTTGGATACTGGCATGTTGATACTTACTATCCATCTGCATGGCAAAAAGTTATTTGGTCCTGTTTTAGGAGATGTAGAATTTAATTGGTGTAAATCAAAGCATTAGTATGGTAGGTTGCTGTCATAGACCTTTGCTCTTGGAACAGTTTTCACTTCAAAATTGCTCTTCCACATCTGAAGCATTTTTTCATGGACAGTTGAAGACCGGATCTCATACCCTAACTAAACAAAGATTTTAGCAACAAATAATTCATATGTTAATCAGATCTTAAGAAATTAGAACCACATAGTGGCAGCAATAGGTTACCAGGACTGTAGTTTTAGGTCCAGATAATGCAAGTATCGTCTGCAAGAGTGGTTCCAAGAGATGCTCTGCATAAACCTTACATCCAAAAAAGTTTTGAAATTATTTGTCTGAAACAAAAAGCAACCAGCATGATATAGCATGTACTTATCTAATTAATTAAAAGTGCAAGTGAAGTTTAGATATTATCCTCAACATCTAAAAGAAAAAAGGAAACCCATGAAAATTATTCTTAGTGAAATTCCAAAGCATGTACCAACTCACTAAATTTGCCTTGTTTTGCAGTGGATAGATAAATAATAAATCATATGAGATTATGATTAAAACTCAAAACTGGAAAGATATGTTTGTTGGAGACTGAAACTCAAGATACCAAAATATGAGCTTCTTTCAATTTTTCTTGGCAGAAATTCATACTGAAACAGTTAAATAGTTAATACCAATTAGCTATTTATATTTAGTTTTCAGTTTGCTTTCCTATTTCCATTATGTAGAACAGAACATCCAATCTAATTCAAACATTGTTTAGTCATGGTTAATTGAACAATATAATCTCATCATGTACCTGAAAATTGTTAAAGTTTTAGCCAGTATATCCACATCTCAAAACTTACAGAACTTCAGAAGCATATGCACAAAAGACAAACCTATGATCCAGACTAAAATGGCTTACTTATTTTCTACCACAAATATAAATAAAAAGGACAACTTATTGATGAGTTAACTTTTCTCAGGAACTTACAACATCAGTGCCAATGATGTAATCAAACGGAGGATCAACAGCCTTTATATGGCCCTGATTTCCCCAATCCAACTCAGCAACTTGGATAGAACCAAATGATGCTACAAGGCAGAGAATTTCTATGTAAAAGAACAGCAATAATACCATAAAGTTTTCTTGATTGCAAGATGCACACCTAATACTTAACATTACATGATTCAATCAAAATATAAAAATTCATACTCCAAATAATAAATTGATCCAAGGGTAACTTCAAAATCATCAAATACCAGAAAATAAAAGAATGCTGAATCTAATACAACATGATGCATAATAAGGTTATATGTGGTTAGAGCATAAAGAAATTGACAAATTTTTTTTAGATTAAATGGAGGTAGAAATATAATTCCATAACAAGAAAACCTTGAAGCTAAAAATGAACAAAATTGGCTAAGTTTGCAGCATACCTGAATCAGCATTTGTCTGCATAATTCTTGAAGTATTCCTTTCAACATTCCTCATTAATAATGGCAAAACCTCTATTTGGTCTGTCGAAACTACGTCACATCCTAGCAATGCCATGCCTGAAAGAAGCACTCTACATCACAGCCAAGCAAAGTGATGACTGAATGTAGCATTGCAACTTAATCTATTGGAAGTCAAATTTAGCACAGAAATGCATGCTCCGGTATGACAATGACAATAAACGTAAGAGAGAAGAAGCTAACCAAATCCAGCTACTCCACAACCAGCTCCAAGTTCTATAACACGTTTTCCTTTCAGTTTAGATGGGCAAAACTTACCCTTTCTACAATTCTTTTCCTGAATAATTGAAACAAAACATAATAAGCTGGCTCAGGTGATGTATAACCTTAACTAATCCCAAGACCCACCCCATATAGATGGCACCAATACAATTTAAATCTTAATAAACAAGGATTTCAAATGAACTATAGATGTTACCAGAAATTTGACCAACACCATTGATGCATCCCAAACTGTGGTGCCCAGATGCTTGGAGTTGGGATCCTGCCATAATGACATCAAATTTCATCCAACAACAGCAATGGAAGCCATCAGGGAAAAGATACAGAAAAAGAAGACTTCTGTTTTCATTCTATCATCAATTTGCTCTGTTGAGGTAATAAAGGATCAAAGAGAAAATGTAATGTGAAAAGACTACACATTATATAACATTCATATATAAAGATACAAGGGAGATAGTAGAGGTTAGCCTTCTAAATATAGTGAAATAACTTGTAGTAAATACTTATCACTGTCATTTCCATACAAGCACCTATTATCTGAAGATGGGGATTTTATATTATTAGTTGAAAGTTTTAAAAATGAAAAGAAAATATACGATGCAAGTCATCTCATAATGGAAAATCTTATCATAAATATGCCTTCCTTTAGAATTCCATGTTTGTACAATAAGATTCTTCACTGTTTAAGAGTTTCACATTTCATGGCTTCATGCAAGTAAAGCTCTTGTGTACTGAAATTGGGCATGTTGCTTTTCTTTTTGTTAATAGATCTCTTAGTGTACCTGCTCATGAGATGGCTGAGTATGCTAAAAACTAAGATTCCAAGCTGTAGTTTGATTGGAGGAACATTTGTATATCTTTTTTTGATAATATGAAGTAATTTAGACATATCCCCAAACATTAGAGAAGCTTGTGTATGAATCAAAAGTTTTGTCCAAACTAATTCAAATGTTGCTAACGAATAATAGAGGACATAACCCTTGAAAAAATGAAATGGCAAGCTAAAATTTGTGTATATGACCCTGAATTGTTGGCTTAGGAGTAAGCCAAATTAATCATATTCTTGGGAAAACACTGAATGTACTTACTATTATCTTCAACAAAATAAATAAACCTATACCTGAGAAAATTGTAGTTGATGGCCGAGGACTTCAAGAGTAATTGCAGAAGTATTAGGAGAATTCAGCCTGGAAGATATTTGGACAACATAAGATAAAATTCTAAATAGAAGTAAAAGAAATACATCACGACTATATCCTTGTTCATTGTATAAGACATGCAACAATACAAGAGAACATGATGTTGGAGTGCAACAACCAAAACATGCTTTAAGTATCCTCATTCATGGACAATAGCATATATACTTATAACGTGGCAAGTTCCGATCAATGTTTTAAGAGGCAGAGGGATGAGGCTAGGCACTAGAATCTTTTGATATATGTGGCTTAAATGGGTGTAAAAAATAATACCTTAAATTAGAAAGCACTTAATGTAAGGCAAAGCCTTTTTTTTTGAAATGTAAAGAGGAAAATTACACTAAAAGAAAACACTGGGTGCAACAAGATAGCAGGTGTTAAGGTAGCACCCCACAAGCACAACAAAAACAATCCTACCAACCAAACTTAAACAACATACAATGCAAGAATCAAATAACAGAAACCATTCTTACACAACACCAAAACAGCAACCTCCAAAAGCTCCTCCAAACGAAATTCATGTCAATCCACCTCACCAAACTCTTCCTGTCCTCCTTCCTCATTCCAAAGTTCTCCCCCTAACTCTTCAGATGCTTTCCTCAGTTTTTTTTCCTCCCTTTTCCTCTCAAATTCTTCAAAATCTCTTCTAGCAAAGCTCTCACCTCCCAAGAAAAACAAGCCCAAAGACTTACCAATTCATACCTCTCTATCAACTAATTGTCTCAAATCCAAGCTTCTCTTCTTTGTCTCCTTCCCCTCCAGCAGAACCTCAGCATTGGCCTCTTTAACTTCACTTCCGTCCCTTCTAATCATCCCCTCTGAAACACCATTCTCTTTTGATTCCTTCCCTTGAAGAACCAGTGAAAAATTCTTCTTCTCAACCCCGTCTTGCAGAACTCAATTCTCTGCAATAGGGTCTTCGTGATTAAGAGATCTGAATTTTACAACCTCTCTTTGGAAATAGCCTCTCTGTATGTGCAGGGGTAAGGTTGCATACATCTGTCCCTCCCCAGACCCCACACTGGCAGGAGCCTCATGCACTGGGCTGCCCTTTCTTTTATTAATGAGTATAAAATTCTTGAGTTTTTAAATGGATCATATAAATATAAACATGAAAAACTTAGATTGTCTTCAACTCAGTCAGTCTAATACTTCAACAAATATACGGAACACATGATTTTGACACAAGGCAACCCAACATGTAAACATATTCCCTACACTTTTAGGCACGTGCATCAAGGTTGAGCCTTGGGGCATTTTCCTTAAGCCTCACTTTGAGGCATAAGCCTTGCATGCCTCTTAAAACACCAATTCCAAAAGAAAAAGGAATCACAAGTTCAACCAAGACAGACATAGGCACATAGCAATCCATTGGAGATACAGATTCCACTAAGGCAGAGGTAGTAGTTATTCTTACAAGTTCAGAGATTGCTTTTGAATTTGTGTCTTTTCCTGTTGTTTATTGAAGGAGACTTATAAAATGCCATTATTTGAAGCATGAGGATTGGGCAAGGACTATGGAAACTTGTAAGCTACCTTAATGAAATAAGTATTAAAAAAACTTACTAATTTGCATGTCCAGATACAGTGGTTCCCTAGAGAGCTAAATGCAATGGTAGACATACCAGTTAGATCAAATGTCCGTAGGGATTTTTTGTATAGTGAGCCAGTGACAATTCTGTGCCTGTCTAGTTGGCCACATTGCAAGTTCTTGTATAGGATCATTATCCTATCATCTACATATCTCTTTAGTATAATTTTATAATTTCCTTCTAAGAAAAATAAAAAAGAACCATGAAATAAGTCAGATATATCAATCAAATTTGCAGGTATATCACCCTCTGTATTAATAATCTTACCTTATATTTAGAATATCATCCCAATCCCCCACCCAAAAGAGAAAAAAGAAACACAAATTTAGTTACAAAAAGGGAACTGCAACAGAAAATATCAATCTTCAATTTATGAAACAAGATACAATATATGAAGGCATAAATTCACATAGATTGGTTTTACATCATAAAACATTAAATTGAAAGTGAATAAGTTAATTAAATCAGAAGTTCATTTGATACAGTTTAAATGTTGCTGGAGCTGGATGGAACACATGGTCAGTGCTATTACAATTGACTTTTGCCCATGTTCATTATAGACATTGGAACAAGAGTGTAGCAGTAACGCCTACGAACTATGTATTCCGTGGATTTAGGCAAAACCCAGAAATCAGCGCTTATGAAACAATCAACAACATCTATATTACAAATTACATTCATTAATATGCTCTAATGCATGAGATTTGATACATCTTTTTTTGAGAAAAAAAATCTCTGATACTTTATTTTAATATCTCTTTAACGCTGACATATTCTAATGCACGAAGCCTGCTGCCTGATAGAGCAGACTCAATACATTCATCTCCCCATTTTGGAACTATCAATTAAAGTATGGCATACAGAATAAACAAGACTCAGCAAAGGTAATAAAGAAAAAAGGAACATCAAACAAAACGGGAATCCCGTAGACGCAAAGAAAAAAAGGTAGAACCCTAGCATTCAAGCTTATCTTTAACTGGCGAAGAAGCTGGTCACTGGACAAGAATAAGCAACTTCTTCACCATCAATTAATGTAAAATGCAGCGAAATCAGATGTTTTAATTTTTAAAGAATGCCCAAAATTAAGAGTGAAAAGGGTTTTTCTCTTTTCTCTTTTGTTCCCCTTGATTAGTAATTAAAGAACATAACATAATCACTATCAGAGCGATACAGAAAGTTAACTATTACAATACCTGTCAGCATCCATTAAGACTTTGGTTGTAGAAAGCAGAGAGAATATCTATCTAAAAGCTCGACTGTTTGGTTCACTCTTCCACGGTTTTTGGTTTCAACAGAAAGGAGGAGAGACCGTTCCTGCAATTTGCAGAGTACTTCCTAAAGCAGCAAAAGGTTGAAACATTGTGTGATAGATGGTGCACCAAAACCGATTGACCCCTCCTCCGGCTCGAAGGTTCAGAAGACTGGATAGAACATGTGAGATCACAGGAGTTTTCACCATTTGATTCTTCTTTTTAAGAAAGGAACAATTTATACGTAGGGAAAACTTTCGATTATTACCCTGTACTTTGGGCTGGTGTTACTTTTTCTCTCAAATTTTAAATCGGGATAATTTAGTTTTCGAATTTTCAAAATGTGTTAATCCAATTCGTCTTTTTGACGAGCCCTTAAGTGACATTTGAAAAGACATAAATATTTCTCAAATGTTATTTAATTCTTTCTATCAATCATCTAAATAATCATAAAAAACGAATAGACCCAAATCCTGTTTTTTTATTTAAGAAAGTCCGGATTATATTTAACGAGCATTTTGATGAATTAATTTTTTGAATAAAAGAGAATAATTTAAGACTTCATTTTTATCAGATAAAAAAAATTAGATGATACTCGAAGAATATTTATATCTTTTTAAATACCATTTAACACTTGATTAACAAATTAGTTAATAGTAAATACTAATTGATATATTTTAAATTATCGCCTTTTAAAGTTTAGAAACCAAGCACTGGATCCAAAGTACAGTATATTAATCCTAAACTTTCCCTTTTTATCTAATGACCACGTTTACCAACGGACTCTCCAATGAGCACTCGCCACGTCGTTTAATGTCCAGCCTAACGGAACTCGACGGAACTCGCCTCCTAACGGCAGTTCCTTGAACTTGCACGGTTTCGCGTCCAGGGTTAGGATTCTACCCTTCAACCGGCTAGTGACCAGAGCAACCGGCGACCGTCAAGTTAGACTGCTTTGTTTTTAAATTGTTCCGATGGAACAGACAAAGTATCAACAATTACCGGCGGTGATGGCATTCCTAACCATTATCGGAGACGAAGAACAGCAAGTAAATCGGGTAGTTCCAGTTCCCTTCCCTCCTTCCTTCTATGACCAGTTTCATCATGCTCTGTTTTACCTTTTTAAACAAATATTACATTTTCTTGCTTCACTCTTAAATATTAATGGCTATTCTTCTTAAATGAATCCAAGAAAACAAAGCAAAGTGGAACTAAGACACAAGCTTATGCTTTGGCGTTTCAATTATAGAGCATGAAGGAACTAAGGAAACGTTGGATATGTTTTACGATGTGGATTTCTATACTCTAGACTGTAGTTGGTGAAAAACACGCATGAGATAGGCCATTTTTATCTGCAATAGTGGCTTGAGATTAAGACTCGCATTACTCGTCCCCTTTTCCAGTTTCTTTACTTAAGAAAGCTACAAACACAACAATTGGATATCAACTTTCACAACATTCTTCTTTCTTTTGAAGTTATGGTTCTCAACGAATAACTGGAATAGGAACAAGGAGCAATTCAACCGACCCGGGCTGTACTTGACATTCCTTATTTTAAAGATTTATCTCTTTTTTGAAATTATAAATTTAGGCTCAGTTTGTAAAGAGTACAAATACAAATATGTATTAATATGTATACATATAAAATAATACAAAATATAAGGTTTTGCATTCTACATATTTGCATTTATACTACTTCCAAACTCAGCCTTGGTGTTCATAGAGCATAGATAAGTCCTTAAAATATGGAATGCCAAATGTGGGCATAGATAAGTCCTTAAAATAAGGAATGCCAAATGTAATCCTGCCCTCCATGACAGAGAACCTCCAGAGTTTCTATCCCATTCTCTTTGATTTCCCACTTCAGTAACCCATGAACACCCACATGAAAAAACAAGGCCAGGTCGCCGGTGAGGCTTACCGTATAAGGACCATATTGAGTGTTGGGATTGACGATAGAAGAATCCCACCTTGAAAAGGATGAGAGGTGCAATGAATTTATATACAAGAGTAGCCCATAACCCTAACACAATGGTTGTATGTGGTGTCCATGCACGTACACTTGTGCCAGCCCCTCGGTTTAACAACCTCTCTCAGTTCATAACAAGTGGTTAATTGAACTCCTTAGGTTTGTGGAATTGCACAGTAGAAAATGAAGATGAAGGATAAGCTGAAAAGCTAGTGATGAATTTTGCTTTTGTTTTTGTCATGGAGGGATTTACTCAAAGATTGCTAAGGTGAGGGGACCAAGTATGTGAAGGAAATGGAAAGGTTGGCTAAGTACACCTTTAAGTGGTGGCAAATGGAGAAAGGAAGGAACCTTAAGCTTGGTTCATTTGCTTTTGAGTAAAGCAACTTGTACTAGTGAAGAAGATAGTGGTTTTGGAGTGTTTTGAGTTCCCACCAACTGTAGAGGAGTTTATGCAGTATAATCCACCAACAACTTAGGCCAAATTTATTTTCTTTTGAATTATTATTAACTTGCGTACATAAGAGGAAATAATTTTTTTATCATATTCAAATGTAATTACATTATTTATGTATTTGTTTATAACAAAAAAGGTAAATTATAAAGACCCCTTTATACTATGGGGGCATTTTATTTTTGGATTTGGAGTGGGGGGAAAGTTGGTCAATGGTATTTTGGTTTCCATTGATCAAGAATCCCATGTTCTTTTTTCAGTTTTATGTGGGGATCAGGAATAGTTTATTTTCCTGGGTATTACTTACATAGGAAAGTGATACACATCCCCTAGGTGAGTAAATAACTTTGCCACATAGGGGGAAAATTGCCAACACTTGAACGGTACAAAAATGCCCCTTTTACGAACAACCTATAAATCAAGAATTCGATCTCCTCTTGTACAAACAACTCATAAATCAAGAAAATCATAAAGAATTATTCTAAACAATAATAAGATTTATATAAAATTAATTTCAGATTATTCGCCCATTAATTTTGGGAAAAATTTTCCCAAAACCCATATCTGCACAAATCGGGTAGAACACCTTCTACCCATTTGCGCAGGTTCAGATCTGAATTAAATTGATTCAAAATTTGAACCTGGCTCTGATACCACTGAAGGGATGGGATATCCATCACATGGACGCCCAAGTCTTGCGGAATGGACTGGGCGAATTTCAAAAAAAAATTTCTCCCATTTTTGCAGGGAATCAAATTCCCTATTTTAGAAAACATATTTTCAATGATCAATCTTGAATCATGAACCAAATCAGATTTGAACCAAAAGGAATAAGAGGGAGGATGTACCTGATACGGAGAAACAGTATCTCCCAATGGAGGTGTTCACGCCCAAGGAAGGATCCAAAATCTGCTCCCACTGAAGATGACGCAGTGTAGG